GACGATTCAGCAGCCACTGGCAGGAGTCACGCAGGCCCCCTGGGACTTCACCTTGTGTCGCTGGCCCCCTCGTCGCCGGCCGCCGCTGCTGGGCTTGGGCTGAAAGAGATAAAGGAAGCCTGAGAAACACCGGCCGCTGGGAGCAGTCAGGCCAGCACAGGCGCCAGGAGACTAGAGAGTGGGTCGTGTCGCCTGGCCCTGGGATTTACTAGGTGACCGTGCGCTGCCTGCCGCCTGTGAAACTAAGCCGGTGCCACCTGCCTTCAGAGCAAGCCTCGCCTCGCCACTGCTGACAGGTGGAAGAAAGGAGTGAACCACCGGGAGAGAACAAGGGGCAGACAGGTCAGGCAGAAGAGGCAGATGGAGAGAGACACCAGGCAGAGGGGGCCGAGGGGGCCGTGGGGGCACCAGGCCTTCACAAGGCTGGGAGACTGCAGGGAAGAGTGGCAGGAGACCCGACCAAGTGAGGCCACACTGACTCAGCCTGAGACCACAGCCCCTCCAGGACGTGTATGTGGGACCCTGTAAGGCAGCGCCTGAGGCCCGGGGGGCTGCAGCGCAGACATCACGCGCACGCTCACACCAAGGTTACTTACACTCACCACTCGGGAAACCGATGCTTTTCTATTCTGGTTTATTTCATGGAAATGAAATGCTATCGAGACCCGGGACCACGTAAAGTGCGTCCTGTCCTGCTTTTTCTTAGGCAAGGTCTTAGCACGTCACGGCCCTCTTGCCTCAGCCTGCTAGCCAGGGCCTACGGTGTGCACCGCCACGCCTGGCTCCTTCTCCTTGGATGGGGTCTCGCTACTCTGCCCAGGCCAGCCCTGAGCCTCCCAAGTCTCGGGGATTACCGGCGCCATGAGCTCGGCCTTCGGGCTAGACCAGGAACAGAAACCCGGCCTCCCACAGGCCCTCTGAATTTCCTGTAGGCGACGCACCTCAGTGACCAGCACTATTTAGTCCCCAGTCTAAACACCTCCTGTGTGTGTGCCCGAGAGGCTCCTACTTAGCACCTGCACCCAGAGTAAAGCCAACGCCTTTGTCACGCTGCCTGAGGCCAAGGGCCACACTTACCTGTGGCTGGAGACTACTGGACGCTGCTGGCTGCCCAGCCCCAAGAGGAGCTTCGTCTCCAGGTGCGGGGCCTCCCACTGCTGACCCACCAGATGGGCCCCCCTCTTCTCGTTTGTTCAGGGGCCCCTTTTTCGTTGACTGCATTTTAATCTGCTGGGGCTTGGAGTTCATTGGAGAGTTGTTGGTGGTCTGGAGGAGCTGTGGGAGCCAAAGGAGTGAGGGTGAGGCTGGGGCTACAGGGTGGTGGCATCAGCTCAGCTGCACCCCCAAGCCCCACAACCCCCGCAGGGACTCCGCTCTCTGGCCTGGCCGGTTCTGGGCAGATGGCAGAGGACCACAATGGGAGGTGGCAGGTAGTCTCTGCTTTCCTCTCAGGATTTTGGGCACGGAAACACATGGGCCCAGCATGACTTTGAAGCAACCAGGTCCAGGACTCGAACCACGGCTGACCACATGGGAGTCCAGCAATGTAACCATTATGCCATCTGCTATGGTCCCCTCCCTTTTTTAAAAGAGATTTTTTTGCTATAGGGCATGTACCCTTGCCAGAGAGACAGAGAGGTAGAAAGTGAGAAATCACCCCTCCCCCCTGCAGGAGGGACGGCCATGCTGCAATCCCTTTTCCTCCATTCTCCTCTCAGGATTTTGGGCGTGCACACACACACGGCCAGTGTGATTTCCCAGCCCCTGGGCCCAGGACTTGAGCCACAGTCGACTCCATGGGAATCCAGCAACATAGCCATTACACCATCTGCTGGTGCCCAGCACTATTTAGTCCCCAGTCGGAGGCCCTGGACGGCCACGGGCCTAGGGCTGATGTCTTACTTCCTGCCTCTGCTCAGCCTAGAAGGGCTAACTGCTGCTCCTGCAGAGAAATCTGGGGCTCTCACTGCCACCTGCCCCTCAAGCCCCAAAGGAACTCATACCCACACGCCAAAGCTGTCCAGCACTCACTCTACCCGGACTCAGGAAGACCAAAGGCGTGGTCCCGGCCACGCTGCCGCAGCCTGTACCAGCACCCGAGAGGCTGACCTGGCTAGGCACAGCCACTCTGCCCTCTGTTCCTACAGGGAATGCCATGCCCACCTCCAAAGCCCAGGACGGGAGGCCCAGAGACACTCCCAGGGAAGCACAGAGGATGGTGCCTCCCAGTGCTGGCCACCTCTCCCAGAGCAGTGACAGCAGCACTGACCCCGAAGATACGAAGGTTCCTCGGGGCTTCTGCGCAGAGCCTCTGTGCTTGTGGTCACTGCACCTACACAGGCAAGGCCTGCCCACTGTACCTTGGTGATGGTGCCCACAGCCTTGGTGCGGCCTTCCCGGAACACCAGCCGCTGGTCTATGTGCAGGTACTCAGGGGTCTTGATGAAGCGGAAGTGGACGGTGGCCTTGTCCCCAGTACGCAGACAGTCCTTGTCCATGCTCAGGATGGTGGCTGTCTGCCTGATGCTCCCACAATGCACTGCCGAGGGATCAGGGAGGTCAGGACAGGATTTAGCTGCCCAGTGCCTCAGGACAGGGGTGGCCGGGAGCACAGCACAACGTATGTGGAGGTGCGGCAGGATGGGCAGCAGAGGGAGCAGGAGGCCTGCTCTGGGATCAGATCCTGTCTCACACTCACCCACTTTCTCCTCTGTTAAGAGCCCAGCCTGGCCCTGTGTAGACAGGGTCCTAGCTCCAGGATCACAGAGCGCTCTATTCACACTTGTGCCTCCTCACTGGACTGCAAGCTCCTGCAGGGAAGGGCTTGCCTGGCTCATCCTTGCTCCCAGCGACTCGGCAACGCCATGTAGCACACAGCAGTGACCGTGTGCTGCACATTCCCTGAAGGAGTGCACGTAAGGTCCCTGGAGAGGTCCAGGACTCGGAGCTTGGCCCTGGCTCAGTGTCTGCAGGACTGCATGGACGCCATGGCTCACTGTGATGGAGGGCATGGCATCTCTCAAGAGAAGGAACCCTGACTCTTGGCTAGGGCTGGAACTACAGAGCCTGGTTTGCTGGAGTTAACTGTTGGAGGAGTAAAGAAGGCCTCCTGGGGTGGCAGGGCCTCTAACACCTACCCATGGCCTGGTAGCGTGGGCTAATTGTGGTGGGGTGGTGGAGGACAAGAATCTCGGCCTCGAACTCCCAGGAGGCTTGGGGATTCAAGCGTGGGGAAACCATCACCATGCCCTTCCGGATGGACGAACGCTTGATCTGAAAGAAAGGGGAAGCCCAGACCTCAGGATATGATGCCTTCTGGCTTCACTCCCAGGTCCCAGAGGGCCAGGAGTCTTCCTAGGAGTAGGGACCACCCCTACGCAGCCTTGCTGCCTCACCACCTCAGGCCTTCCAGGGTGGACAGCACAAGGCAGACTTGTGCTGTGTGGGAGGCGAAACACTGCTGCTGAGGGCCAGGGAAGGCTTCCCGCAGGAGCTGGCATTTCAGCTGCTGGCCCTTGAAGGACAGGTGGGGAGGCCAAGGCAGGTGAGCATTCGGAAAAGGGACAGGGTGAGCAGGACCTAGCCACTGCAGGTGGCAGAAAGCCTCTGTTTTCCTGGTTAAATAGAAGACCCCAGAGCTAGCACTCATCCGAAGTCCACAAGCCAAAAGACTGAACAGGAAGATCTGGCACAGATGCCCAAGTGTAGGACGCTCTGCCCAGCAGGCAAACTCTGAGTGGACACCCTGCTCAGGCAGGGTGGGACAGAGCTAGAAACAAGCAGTCCTGACTAACACTTACCACTGTGTGTCGGGCAAGTCACTGAGTTCTCTGAAAATGGGGTCAGTAATCCCTAACTTGTAGAGTAGTCCCACAGACTAGAGGTGGGGAAAGACGTCTGGCCCAGACCCCAGCAGAATGGAGGTGGCGGGGAGTTGCCGGTTATCGACGATACTCACCTTCTTCAGCGCAAAGGAGGCTGTCTGGCCCCCCCGCACCTCCTTGACAGGCATGCGCTTGCGATGGATTGACTTGACAGCAATGGGCAGGAAGTTACCCAGGGGGTCTGGGCCCAGCAGCAGCGTGTCATTCAGTTTGATCAGACCTCTCAGTGTTGTCCCTGACACCACTGTTCCCACACCCTGCCAAAGAGAAGATGGAGGCCTCAGAAGTCCATCTCCACCACAGACCAAGCCCTGCTGTCCCTGTAGTAAGTGCTGCCCAGTCACCCACCCTGCTCAGTCGTCCCCGAAGCACTCACTGGGACAGAGTAGGTGTCATCGATCTGAAACTCAGCAGGCTCTTCCTCCTTGTAGCTGGTGCGGGGGGAGAGGAGGTTGAGGAACATCTTCAGCAGGTCCAGGTTCTCACCTGTAACGTTGGAGATCTGGAATATGGGGCACACCCTAAGTGGAGGGGAGAAATGGAAGAAAGGAGAGAGGCACTCAGGTGACTAGCCCCTGCCCTGCCAGTGTGTGCGTGTGCGTGTGCATGTGTGTGTGTGTGTGTGTGGCAGCTGGAGGGCCCAGGAGCAGGTTTGCTGCTCATGACTCGCCTCTGGGCCCAGTCCTCAGCTCCGGCCCAGCAACCCCAAGTATACCTGCACCGAGGCCTCCTTCTAGGCTTAGTCTCTGAAATCTGCCTCCTTCTCTGTGCTCCTCCCTCACTGCCCTATTTTGGAGCCTCATGACAGCCTCTTCCTCCTAAAGCAAGCAATGCTTGCTTAACCCCCTTAACCCTATCGTTCTTGGCCTTCTGGCTAAGACCCGCTGTAGTGACATCCTTCCCTGCCTTTCCATGGCGTTCATGGCCTTCATACTTGGGCTTGTGGACCAAGTCCCCCAAAGTCCCATATTCTAGCCATGGCAGAGGACCTTCGCTTCTCCTCAGAGCCTGGTGCTTTCCTGCCCCTGTGTACCTGCTCACTCTGACCTTCCCTCCTGAATCCCTTCCCTCTTAGCCAACCTCAGTCTCCAGAATCCACTTTTCCATGAAACCCTGCAGAAATGGCTACTCAACTCCTCTAAATGCCTGAAGAGCTTTTCATGGCTATTACATGTGAATAAGTAGGTCTGATTTTCCATCAGAGTCACCTAAATGGCCTCCACCTCTCCTACTTAGGGTGCACTAAACTCTCTGAGATCCAGACGTATGTATTCCCCCATAACTTCCAGAATAGTGCCTGTAGAAAATGGCCTCAACGAAACCAACAAACTGAACCAGGGCTGTCGGAAATTTGCCCCCTGCTGGCCAACTGGTGGTACTGTAGACAGTATCAAGTCAGGGTTCCAGGCCAAATAGCCAGGCGGATCCGGTCCTACCTACAGACCACTCAAGAGCAGATGGCTCCTAAGGAGCCTGAGGCTTGGGGTGGAGGAGCGGAGTTCGCCACGTTCACTGTTACCAAGAGCGCATCTCAGACCAAGAAGCTGAACGCCTTGGGGACTGTGCTCTAGACAACTCTGAATCCTCAATGTACGTAGGAAGAGCCCGGCAGAACAAGTGTCTGATAAATATTTATGGCATGAAAGGAAACATTAATGAGAAAATGCCGAACTTGGCCTGGGACTAGAGAGTGGTGAAGACACGGCAGTACAATACATTCTGACAGTTATGAAATGGCTGTGGAGTCACCGCACACCAGCCAGGCACGGCACTGAGAGCTTCCAGTACCCATTTCCAATGCTCTGACAGCCCTACTGGAAGGCAGCATCGTTGTCATTTTGCGGATAAGGACACCCAGGGTCAGGTGGGATATCAGCCCTGGAGGAGCCAGAACTTGGGTTACTAATGCGGCCCAGGAGCAACAGTGCGAGCCTGGGAGACCTGGCACTGAGTCCAGAACCTTCTATTTCCTCCCATCTCTGAACTGTGAGAAGCGTTTTGACATGTTGTCTCCATGAGCCATTCCAGGCCTACCTCCTGATGTGGCCTGCCAGCCAGGGTGCCTGCCCGGAGCGCATGCCCTGCCCCTTACCTCTCGGAGCTGAAGTTGGAGGCTGTGACAATCACATCGTCCTTGCTCTGCACCAGTACGGGGATTTTCCGGCAGCCTGGTGACTTCAGCAGGCGCTGTAACAGCTTCAGAGTTTCTTAAAGGGTGAAATGGAAGAGAATTAGGGGACACAGCCTTCTCTTTGGCCAGGCTTCCAGGACAAGATGGGTCCACTCATTACTGATGCAAGCAGAAGACAGACAGACAGACCGACCAGTGTTAAATGCCACAATGCCTGGAGAAGCAAAAAGGAGGATCAAGACTTTGGGTGGGTACATGTTGCTGGAATAGAAAGACGGGGCCCATTTCCTAAAGTTTTGACTCTGAAACCTGGTAAATTTCTCCAGAGTCTCTACAAGACCCACAAGCTCTAAGCAAGTGACTTAGGGTCTCCAAAAGTCAAATGATCTTCCCAGAATGTACTGCTTCCTGGAAAAACAATCTCATCTGACAAAAGGCTCTCTTGGGCATTGAGCAGTCTGCAGAGGCCCTCAGGAGGGCTTCCAAAAGCTTAGTTCTCCACTTCTCTTCTATAGTCCATGGCAGAGAGGAAGAAAAGCACAAAGGCCTAGGCCTGCAGCCCTGTATTGACGCTCTGGTGGTAAAAGACTATCAGATGCTCTAATAGAGCCTGACTCTTTCTTCCTGGGGTCCTCTGAAAAGAGGTACCAGATTAGGGTTCTTGAAGATTCGGTACTTGGGAACTAGAAGGAACAGAAAACAGGATAATTCTAGGTTGTGATCAGACCATGAGCTAAATAGGGCAGAAGAAACAAAAAATAGGGGGCTGATGAAAATTCAGGCCAAGGTCTGAGTACAAGGCAGAAAAACAGAAGATCCCAGGCTGAGTCCCCAGTAGCAGACTACCAAGGAGGCAGAGTGGGTGACAGAAGCTGCCACTAGCCGGAGTCCTCACCTACCTTGCAGAATGTTGGCAGGGCACATGTCGATCTTGGTGACTACCACAAAGACAGGCACATTGAGTGCCAATGCCAAGCCCAGGTGCTCCTTTGTCATTCCCACGATGCCAGCATTGCTGCCCACCTGTCCCAACACAGAAATAAACTGTCAGGACAAGCGAGACAGATTGGTGCCAGGTAGGAACAGGTGCTCCCAAACGGAGGTAGATGAAAGCAGGGCTGGGAACAGATCACTTTAACCTCTGACTCAAGGATGTGGGCTACCAAGATCTGAGGGGAGGGGGCAGGCAGTGGCCTAGTGGTAATGCAACTGGACCCATTTGAGGAAGGTCCCAGGTTCACATCCTGGGACCTCCCTAAGCATGCAGAATGAACATGCTGGGCAAGCTGAGACTAGTGGCGGATCACAGTATAAAGATCTGTTGGTGCATGTGTGTGTGCATGCGTGTATGTGTACATGAGACTCTTAAGAATAAACTTTGGGGCAGCAGGTAACATGGAGATTAAGAAGGCTGGATCCCACAGAGCCAACTGCATGGTTTGAGTCCCACACCCAGTAACTTGAAAATACACAGGGCTCACATGTGCATGCATACATGCATATGTGCCGGAAAAAAAACAAGAGAATGGAAGAAAAGGAACTGCAGCATGGCCATCACTCAGGGTGGTGGTTTCTCATTTTCTCTCTGTCTCTCTGGTGAGCACATGCACCCTACAGCAAAACCAAAATAAATAAATAAATAAACTTTATTTATTTTTTTTTTTTTGGAGAAGGTTTTTTTCTTTTGCTATAGGGCGCGTGTGCTCGCCAGAGAGAGACAGAGAGACAGAGTGCGAGAAATCACCCCCCAGGGGGGATGGCCACACCGCAATCCCTTTTCCTCCATTCTCCTCTAGGGATCCTGGGCACGCACGCACGCACACGCGCCCAGCGTGAGTTTAAGCCACTGGGTCTGGGACTAGAACCATGGTCGACTGCATGGGAGTTCAACAACATAGCCATTACGCTAACTGCTGGTCCCTAAATAAACTTTAAAAATCAAAAAAAATATATCTGAGGAGTGTTGTAAGCAATGAAAAGGAAACCTAGACAGTTCAGGGGAAAACTGTCTAGAGTCATCAGTGTGGCCCTGATGCAAACAGTTTCCCCCATGTATTGGGTCTTCTATGCAAAAATGCGTCATGACTTTTCTGATGGCCCAATATAAATTGGGAATATCAATAGCTACACTAGAGGGTCACTTGAGGCGTAACTGTTGTCACCCACGTCCAGGACACAATAGCAGCTGTTATTACTGTAACTATTTCCTTCCTGGAACAGTGAATGTTTTAAATTATCCCATTAAGAATGGTTAAATAAGTTAGGGCACATGTACAACATGTGCCATACAAAAGAAAGAACAAACTCTCGGGCCAGCAGAGGGCATGGTAGTTAGAAGCGCTGGATTCCCGTATGACTGACCATGGTTTGAGTCTTGGACCTGGTGGTTTGCTTTCTCTCTCTCTCTCCAGTCAAGTTCAAAAATAATATCGAGGGACCAGCAAGTGGTGTGGTGGTTAAGGCGCTGGACACTCCCACACGGCCAACCACAGTTCGAGTCCTGAACCTGGTGGCTTGCTTTCTTTTCCCTCTGTGTGTGTGTGTGTGTGGGTGTGTGTGTGTGTCTCTCTCTGGTCAAATTAAAATAAATAAATGAATAAATAAAATTAAATAAATAATTCTTAAAAAAATAATAGAGTTAAATAAAGTAACTTTAAAAAAGAAAAAAAGAATAAACTCTTATTTACTGATATGAGCTCATCTCTAAGACATGTTTTTTTAAAAGAATTATTTATTTACTTTTATTTATTCATCCATTTATCTTCATTTGACCACAGAAAGACAGATTCACTGAGAGAAGGAAAGTGAGAAGCAAGCCACCAGGTCTGGGACTCAAACTGTGGTTGGCCATGTGGGAGTGCCCAACGCCTTAACCACCACACCACCTGCTGGCCTTCTAAGAAACGTTTTTAAGGGGGAAACCCCTTAAAACAGCAAGGCGTATATAGCATGCTACTATGAAAAGAGGTGAGTGGTGACTGATTCATAGTTTGAACATAGCAGTCTTAAGATATGTGGTGAGGGACCAGCAGTTAGCGTAATGGCTATGTTGCTGGACTCCCACGTAGTCGACCGTGGTTCGAGTCCCGGACCCGGTGGCTTAAACTCACACCGGACGCGTGTGCGTGCGTGCCCAGGATCCCGAGGGGAGAATGGAGAAGGGATTGCGGCGTGGCCATCCCCCTTGGGAGGTGATTTCCTGCTTTCTATCTCTCTGTCTCTCTCTCTCTGTCTGGGGAGCGCACGCGCCCTATAGCAAAAACCTCTCAAAAAAAAAAAAAAAGACATCTGGTGAACATTTGAGATGATGTAAATTCAGAGACTAGACACTGGAGGACACTAGGGAACTACTGCTCATTTTCTCCGTTTCAGTAACAGTAGGAGACAGACCTTAAAGAAGCTACGTGCTGAAGTACTTGGAGGTGAAGAGTCACAATGTCTACGACCAATTTCCAAAAGATTCAGCCAAGTAAAACAGAAAATAAAAAGCAAACAGGACATATATACACATATGCATCTATCACACATACAGATACATAGGGCAGAATGTTAGTAACTGTTGACTCTAAGTGGTGTACTTACGGTATTCATTACTCTATGCCTATTTCAGAGGAAACCGGACAAAGGAAGAAGGAAGACTTTCCACTATAAACTCTGGTCCTTTTTAAAATTTTGTACCATATGAATGTATTACTCACTAAAACAAAATTTAAAACTGTTTCAATTGCTATGATCATTGATACAGTGCTTACACATTCCAGAGTGTCTTCACCGAGCTGTTCTTTTTTCCTTTTTTCTTTTTTTTTGAGAGGTTTTTGCTATAGGGTGCGTGCGCTCGCCAAACAGACAGAGAGAGACAGAGAGACAGCGAGAAATCACCCCCAGGGGGGATGGTCATGCCGCAATCCCTTCTCCTCCACTGTCCTCTCGGGATCTTGGGCACGCACGCACACGCGCCCGGCGTGAGTTCTAAGTCACCGGGTCCAGGATGCGAACTGCGGTCGACTACGTGGGAGTCCAGCGACATAGCCGTTACGCTAACTGCTGGTTCCCCCGAGCTGTTCTTCAACGGTCATCACCATCCAGCTGACACGGCTGTCCACGCCTGCCTGTGTTCCTCTTCCTTCACCAGGACACCCCCACAGCTGCCTCCCAACTCTTCCTAGGCCCTTTAGCCACACTTGCTCAAGTTCTCAACCTGGTGAGTGTCCTGCTGCTCTGCTGTCTGGAAAGCTACTGCCGTGGAACAGTAATGAAATCTTTCACTGTTTCCCACAGGTGTCTTAATATTTGGATCAGCCTAAAAGTCAGGTAATACATAACATTTTGTCTGGGATGAAGATATTCCATCAGCTGGTTTTGCTTACTATAGCTCAATCAGAAAAACGCATATTTTAAACTGGTTTCTATACTTTTCACTTTTCTTTCTGCACTAGAGGGCAAGTACATTCAGCAGAAACAGACATCAAGCACCAGAGAGAGGAGAGAAGAAAACATGCTTCCTGGGAGAATGGTCATACTGTAATCCCTCCTCTCCCATCTCTCCCTTCTTTTGGGATTTTGGGCTCGCATGCACACATGCCTGGCGTGTTTCTCAAGCCACCAAGTCCAGGACTTAAGCTATACAACTAGCCATGCAGGAACCACTGCTTTAACCACCAGGTCACAGAGCCGGCCCCATTTCTATTCCCTTTTTTGTTTGTTTGTTTGTTTTGCCATGGAGCGTGCATACTCATTGAAGACACAGAGAGAGTGGGAAGGTGAGAAATCACCCCCCTGGGAGAATGGCCACACCACAGTCCCTTCTCTTCCATTCTTCTCTTGGAATTTTGGGTGCGTATATACACACACACACGGTGTGTTTTTCTTTTTTCTTTTTTGGAGAGGCTTTTGCTAAAGGGCACATGCACTCACCAGAAAGACAGAGACAGAGAGAGAGACAGAAAGTGAGAAACCACCCCGCAGGGAAGATGGCCACGCTGCAACCCCTTCTCCTCCATTCCCCTCTCAGGATCTTGGGCACGTACGCACATGCGCCTGGGCATGAGTTTAAGCCACCGGCTCCGGGACTCGAACAAGATGGGATTTCAGCACCCCAGCCATTATGTCATCTGTTGATCCCTATAGTGTGTTTTTCAAGCCACCAGGTCTGCAACTCGAACCGTGGAGTTAGCTGTGTAGGATCCAGTGCTTTAACCACCATACCACCCACTGGTCCTACACTTAAATTTTTTTTTTTTTTTTGAGAGGTTTTTGCTACAGGCTACAGGGTGTGGTCACTTGCTGGAAAAAGAGAGAGAGAGAGAGAGCTAGAAAGTGAGAAATCACTCCCCCCAGGGGGGATGGCCACACCGCAATCCTTCTCCTCCATTCTCCTCTTGGGATCTTGGGCACGCACACATGCCCGGTATGAGTTTAAGCCACCAGGTCTGGGACTCGAACCACGGTCTACTACATGGGAGTCTAGCGACATAACCGTTACGCTAACTGCTGGTACCCCTATACTTCATTTTTTTTAAAAAAGATATTTTGCTATAGGGTATGTGTGCTCGCTGGAGGCACAGAGAGGCAGAGAGAGTGAAAGTGAGAAATCAACCTCCGGGGGGATGGCCATGCCACAATCCCTTCTACTCTAGTCTCCTCTTAGGATTTTGAGCATGAATGTACACATGCCTGGTGTGAGTTTCAAGCCACTAGGTCAGGGACTTGAACCATGGTTCACCATATGGGAGTCCACCACAACCACTATGCCATCTACTGGCTCTGGTCCTACATTTAATAATACCAGCCCAACAACTCCTTCAAATACTCCCTAGGGGTTAAGGATTGAGAATAGTTCGTGGAGAGAAGCCTTTCTCAGCCTAGTCAAGAAAGTTGCAATGGTTCAAAGAAAATCTTTGCAATGGTTCAAAAAAATAGGAGATTTCTGATCAAGCTGGGATCCCAAGAATCTGAAGCCAAGAGCCATAAGAGCACTCATACAATACACTCTGTCTTCCTTCATTACTCTCCAGTTTGGGGAGAATGTGCGTGAGAACCTGTGTTTGTGGGGCAACTTGATCCAGTCTGCCACAGACTACACTTATAAACACGGGCAGCTGGAAGACCTGGGAAGTTGGGAAGGGCTTTGGGAATGGCTCTGCCAAAGGAAAACTTGTTCACTTGCGTACATCCTCTCCCCAACCCCTCGCTGCATGTCAGGTTGTGGGCCTCACCACTCCCACCTTCTGCCCAGGGAGGAAGATCAGTGGGGCATAAACGAGCCTCTGCTCTGTTTCCTTTCCAGTTAATCTATGTGATGAGCTGTTTAAAAAGCTAGTCACCAGATTACAAGCTCCATGGGACCCCAGGACAGCCTCGTGCACTGCCGTGTCAGGGACCCAGCACAGCGTGGGGCACACGGGAACCTTCCAGCAAGGACTGGTACACTGGCTGATGCTCCTCTCAGGCTCCGGAAGAGGTCATGTCACAGGCCCTCCTGAAGGCTGCACCTACCCCCTTACAGTGCTGTCTTCCATTTCTCCCCCAAGTCTTGCCTCTTAGATGGTGCCACGAGGTACTACCTCCTCAAGTGGCCCAACCCCCAGAGGAAAACCCTTCTCGATGGCTCTCTGAGAAGTGTAGTCTACAAGTGGCATGCAGTTTTGCCAAGAGGGTCACTTCCTGGTCTAATGGAGGGCAGACATCAAAAAGACTGTTGTGCTTATGGAACGGGCCACCCCTGCAAAATTTGCCATCCCTACCCAGTGTCAGAGCCCCAGACCCTCAGGCCTCGGTCTCAGAGCAACTTCACACACTTGCACAGAACCACACCTTAAAAGGCCTGCTGAAGCCACCCTTACCTGCAGACATGCCTCACTCTTACCATGAGCATGCAGAAGTCAGGCAAATGGCCAGTCATGCCAAAGACGGTGGTCTTCAGGTACTTCTCATGGCCAGCTAGGTCAATGAAGGTAATAACCTTTGTGGACTTCTCACAGATCTTTGTCCACTCTAGGCTGCCTCCGTGGCTGTCGGGCTTGTTCACCACATTGCCTTCGCTGTCGAAGCCCAGAATGTCATTGCCCACACTGCTGGTGCGACCAGATTCAATCTCATGTTTGTGGCGGAAGAGTTTCTGGCGAGCAAAGCCTCGGCCATTGTCCAGCTCTCCGTGCGTCAGCACCCCCAGCAGCGTGCTTTTACCGGCATCCACGTTGCCCACAACTGCTACCCTGTGTGTGCATGAACCCATACATCCGTGTGAGTCAGCGGGCGAGCAAAACGAGGAGACAGCTCAGAACCCCAAAGCTGCATCTCTAAGTTCAGGCTCACCCTTGAGCCCCTCCAGCCCAGTTGCCCCTCCTATTCATGGATGAACACACTGGGAGTGTTCCTGGAACTATGCCCAGGGAACAGTCATTCAGGAGAAATTGTACTCCCACAATGGCCACCTTCCTTAACTCCCACGAGTTTCCCCAAAGCTGCTGGGAACAGTCACAAAGTGACTTTCTCCCGTGACCCTGCTTTCCTACCTCACAGGCTGAGGAAAAGCAACTACAACACAGAGGACGGCCGCAAAATGCATAGAGGGCCTCTCTCAGTCCAAAGGGGTGGCGTGCACACGCCAGGTGCACATAGGCTCAATCGTCATTCTCCATGAAGTCTGAGACCCACGGTTATGCAGCGGGGACCTGAACTCTTCTGACCTCCTCACCTGACCTCCAGGAAGTCATCGTCTCCTACTCGTTTCCGGACCAGGTAATCACGCACGCGGCCCCCAGCTTCTTGACGTTCCCGCAGGAGGATGACGTCAGCCTCTATCTGCTCCGCCATACTCTTCACCGTGGCGTAGGAGGCCTCCATGTCAGCTTCACTCAGCCCATACTCAGTCCCATCTGGTGACGAGAGCCCAGACATTAGCAGGAGAGGGGATCCTGACCAACCAGCCTGCAACAAGCCAGCCAGTCAACCCTGCCTCGCAAAGGACCTGCTGAGTCCTGGAGAAGAACATGGCAGTCTCTACCTGGGAGGAAACTAAGGCACATGCAGAGTTAAGACATGACAGTGTTATGGGTTCCTCCATCAAGCAGGGCATTGGTTAATGCATTCAACAATTGCAGAGATTGTCCTAGGTTGTATGCCAAGTTCATGTTGGGTACTTGGGAATACAAGTACCCTTAGCAAGCTCAGAGCCCAGCAGGAGAGGCAGACAGGAAATTAATGAACTGCAATAGAACTGTACGACAAGAAGGTAAAGCATTGCCTGGGGAAGCCGAGGGCAGCCCTGCAGGGTGCTGACGCCGTGCTGCGTGTCCAGGTGTGAGAAATGAGCCCGCAGAGAAAGGGGGAAGGACATCCTAGCTAGAAGAACAAAGCACGGAACGTGGCAGATGTTGGCACATTCAGGGACCAGGACGGACAACGCTGAGTGGCAGGAGGCCACACAGGAGGTTGAAGCAGGTATTACAAATAAACGTCAGACAGCAGCAAGACACGCTTTTTGGGGAGTTCAGGCGGGGGAGGAGAGGTGACATGATCAGATTGTGGTGGGTTAGAGAGGTCTCCTGGATAGCAGTAGATAGGAGCAAGGGAGAGACCAGAAAGGGGAGCCCAGTTAGAAAGTCATTCTAATCACTGAGACAAGAGATAATGAGGACAAGAAGATAAAGGAAATGAGGACTCAAGAATTATTTTAGAGACAGATTCTTAACTGAGGTAGCTCAGGTGAAATGTCCAGTAAACAGCTGGAAAAACAAGTTTGAGCTCAGGATGAGCAAAGGAGGCAGACAGAAGGATGGACCGATCCATCAATCAGCTGAGTGCCTGCCGTATGACAACCCCATCCAGGGCTTTCCAGGCATTGTCAGGTTTAATTCACTCAATCACTCCCTCAGCCTTTCCCTTGCCTTCCCGTCTCCGAGAACCCTTCTTCCTCCCTCACTTCACCCCTCCAGCACTCAACCCTCTTCTCTCTTATTACCTCCGAAAGCCCTTGCAGCCTCAGGCACTCCTGTCTCTTCTCTCCCTCCCCTCTCCAACAAGCTTGAGTCCCATGGAAACTACAAAAAGGAAAACCAGCCCTCTCCTCTTGCCCCTGCATATCTACTGAGCCACCACACCTCTCTTCCTTTCCCACCAAACACCTTGAGAGTATTTGACACTTGTTGACTATTCCCCACTATTCTGAACCTGACTCTGGAAGAAACTGCCTTTCGAAGGTCATCACGAGCCTTCTAATCACTCGATCCAGTGTCTTTTTCTTTATTTATTCAGGAACAGGGCCTTCTTTGCCCAGGCTGGCTTTGAACTAATGACCCTCCTGCCTCAGTAGATGGGACTTTAGGCCCTGGCTCCGATGCCCCTATCCTTGACCCCACCACGTTTACACTGCCGGCAGCTCTGTTTTCCTTCTCAAGGCACTGCCCTCCCATCCCGCTCGCCCAGGGCCTGACCTCTCCTGCTGCGCTCCCTTGCTCCCGTCCCGACTGCCGACTTTTCCAGTCGTCTATCAGTGGCCCTCTTTTTCCAATAAACTTCCCTTGGCCATCTCATTCTAAAGCTTCAACTGTCATTTTGAAAACTACAAAAACGTTCATTTCTAGCCCTATCCATTTTCCAGAGCCGCAGACTGAATTTCCAGTTTCCTAGATGATAACTCCTAGAAGTCCCAACATCCAAGTGCAACTACTGTCACTGCCTTCTAAACACCAGCACAGCAATGAACACTAATGATGCATTTTAGCCCTCCCTGAACCCTATGAAGTAGGCATGACTGTTCCCTTTTACTGATGTGGTAAAGGAATGCAATGAGGTCTCAGAGCTACAAGGGAGCAGATGGGCTGTGTGAGCTTGGATCTTTGGATACCAAATCTAGAGCCTTTTCTCCAGCAAGAGTTCCTCCTCCTGCCTGACCAGTCTCTCCTCTGGCTGTCCCTAGTTGTGACAATGACAATGTCATCCTTCCAGACAGCCAAGCTCAACACTCTGACCAGTCCAGCCCTACTGCTGCTAGTTTTTGATCTTGCTCTTTCTCTGCTGTCTACTCTTTATGCCAATCTGCTGTCTCCAGCCTGATTCAGGCCCTTATGCTAGCTGAATCAGCACAACAGACTTTTACCGGGTCTTAGCAAATCTGGTCTCTTCTCTCCAACCACCCTGAGCAGACCCGAATCTTGCAGCTACTAAAAAAAGCTGTCACTTTGGAGTCAAAGCATTTGAATGGGCTCCAGCCTTAATTCCTTACGAACCTGTCCTTTATTCCACACCCTGTCCTCATTCTCCCCATAAGCTCAGCCACCACCCTCAGACCCCCTGTATTCCTTGCATGGTCCTAGCTCATGAATTTCCTATTCTGGAAAACTCACCAGTGGGCCTCTCCCCTGGCAAAGTTCTACCCATTCTGCTCAAAGGCCCCACAGACATTTGTGTCTCCCTTACAGCACCTGCCACATTCCGCCTTATGCAACAGTGTTTTGGTTTTGTTTTGTTTTGGAGAGGTTTTCACTATAGGGCGCATGCGCTTGCCAGACAGACAGAGAGAGACAGAGAGACAGAAAGCGAGAAATCACCCCACAGGGGGGATGGTCACGCCACAATTCCTTTTCCTCCATTCTCCTCTCGGGATCTTGGGCACATACGCACATGCGCCCGGCGTGAGTTTTAAGCCACTGGGTCCGGGACGCGAACCGCGGTTGACTAGGTGGGAGTCCAGCGACATAGCCATTACGCATGCTAACTGCTGGTTCCTGTGCAACAGTGTTTTGGACCCACACTCTTCCTGACCTATGCAAAACATCTTGAAGCAGAGACCATATCACAAGCATTCCCTGATGCCCCACGAGGAGCACCCTTCCTGTATCAAGTCCTAAATGTCTGCAAAATGTAAAACAAATGAACTATGAGGGAACAGCTGGACTGGGGAGTTTCTAAATGCACGGCCAAGTTGGCTCTGAAAACCTGGGTTAGAGAAGGGCTTGTAGGATGTGTTCCTGAGAGAAGGTTGGCGAACCCTGCTGTGTCTGCCAGACTGCCAGCTCTGTCCAATCTTCCCTGCTTTCCCTGCTTCTGTAGAATGCTTTCGAGTTCTGCTCCACACCAGGGACCATGGACAATGTCACCTTGCCCATCGGGGCTGTCAGTCTATCACATCACCCTTCTCTGGCACGCGCTGCATTCCTCACACTGTATAAATGGAGACGATGCCAAGGAGAAAAGCTACAGAGGGCCAGTTACTAAAGGCCTTCACTCAGCCAATCCCAACCCTAATCAGATTCTGTCCCACCAGCTCATTTACCTTTTTATATGCATTCCTCTGTTCAACATGCTGCAAACACTTCCCAGACTTTCAGGATAAAAGCCTAATATCTTTGGCAAAGCAGTCAGAGACCCTCGAGGTCTGAGCCTTGCCTATCTGCCCAGCACCCCCTCCCACCGCTCCCAACCTCGTGCTCTACACACACCTTACTGGATTACTTCTGGGCCACCCGATACTCTGCAGTCTCCAATACCTGCAAGTCTCTGTGCAGGCAGTTCCTCTGCCCACTCACCACTGCCCTGGAAAACTACTCATCCTTTAGATTCAATGCAAAGGGTAGTTCATCTTTTCAGCCTTTCCTGACCATTCCCACCACCACAAAGATTTAATACTCCTCCTACAACACCTGAATCTTTTTTTGTCTTTCTTTTCTTTTCTTTTTTTTTTTTTTAAGAGATTTTTGTTATAGGGCACACGTGCTCACCAGAGAGACAGAAAGCAAGAAGTCACCCCCTGCGGTGGATGGCCATGCCACAATCTCTTTCCTTTTGAGATTTTGGGCATGCGTGCATATGCACCCGGGTCCAGGACTCAAACCATGGTCAACTATGTGCGAGTCCAGTGATGTAACCATTACACCAACTGCTGGTCCCAGCCCCTGAATCTTAATATAGCTTCTGGCTCTTAGAAAGCTTCCAGTTAGTGGAATGGCTATGTCGCTGGACTCCCATGTAGTCGACCATGGTTCACGTCCTGGACCCGGTGGCTTAAAACACACGGGGCGCGTGTGCGTGCGTGCCCAAGATCCTGAGAGGAGAATGGAGGAGAAGGGATTGCGGCATGGCCATCCCCCCTGGGGGGTGATTTCTCGCTTTCTATCTCTCTGTCTGTCTCCGTCTGTCAGGCGAGCACACGCGCCCTATAGTAGCAAAAACCTCTCCAAAAAAAAAGAAAGCAAGCTTCAATTTGGTATCTGAGGAATGACAAGTTCTTCTGAAAGAAATCTTATGGTAAATCAATTATAGTCTGGGATCTTTAAAAAGATACTACTGCGCTATTAAAACTATTTAACATTTATATAATGCTTCCTATATGCCAAGGGGTTTCCATTAACTCTCATTTAATCTTCACTACCACACCATTAGATAGATTCTGTTATCATCCCCATTTTAAGACTAAGAAAATCTAGACCTATGAGGCTCCAGATAGTAAACTACTAGGCCATATTGATTTCTTTAAAAAATACCAAGCATGGGGGCAGCAAGTGGCATGGTGGTTAAAGGCACTGGACTCCCACATGGCAGACCACAGTTCAAGTCTCAGACCTGGAGGCTTGCTTTGTCACTTCCTCTCTCTCTCTCTGTCTCTCTCTGATCAAACTGAAAAATAATAATGATAATAATAATAAATAAAGTTAAATAAAATAATTATTTAAAACAAAAATACCAAGCTCTGGGGCCAGCAGGTGGAGAGTGGTTAAGGTGCTGGACTCCCACATGGCTTATCGCAGTTCAAGGCCTGGACCTGGTGGCTTGCTTTCTCACTTTCCCTCTTTCTCTCGGTCTTTCTCTGATCAAATTTAAAATAATAATAATAATAGATAAAATTAAATAAAAATAACTGTTTTTAAAAATTCAAGCTTAGGGACCAGCAGGTGGTGTGGTGGTTAAGGTGCTAGACTCTCATAAGGCTAACCATGGTTTGAGTCCCAGACCTGACAGCTTGAAAATCACGCCAGGTGCATGTGCATGCATGCCCAAAACCTGAGAGGAGAATGGAGGAAAAGGGATTGCATCATGACCATCCCCTCTGGCAAGTGATTTCTCACTCTTCCTCCCACTGTCTCTCTCTGTTGCTCTGCTCTCCAGCAAGCATTTTTGCCCTATGGCAAAAACCTTTAAAAGAAAAAAAAAAAAAAAAAAGAGAGATGGGACCAGCAGTTAGCCTAATGGCTATGTCACTGAACTCCCATGTAGTTGATCACAGTTCGAGTCCTAACCTGGTGGCTTAAACTCACACCGGGCGTGTGTGCATGCATGCCCAAGACCCCAAGAGGAGAATGGAGGAGAAGGGATTACGGCATGGCCATCCCCATGTGGGGTGATTTCTTGCTTTCTGTCTCTCTCTCTCTGTCTTTCTGGTGAGTGCACGTGCCCTGTAGCAAAAACCTCTTGAAAAAAAAAGAGAGAGAGAGAAAGCTCAAATTGAAAATATATACCTAAGGGAACAGCAGATAACATTATGGGTATGTCACTGGACTACCATGTGGCTGAATGTGGTTCGAGTCCCAAACCCGGCAGCATGAACCTCAGGCCAGTTGCGTACGTGCGCATGCCCAAAATCCTGAGAGGAGAATAGAGAAGGAATTGTGGTGCAGTCATCCCTCTTGAGGAGTGATTTCTTGCTTTCTGTCTGTCTCTTAGCAAGAGCATGTGCCCTACAGCAAAAATCTCTCTTAAAAAAAATGTATACTCAAAGAGCACATTCCTTCAAACTGGTTAGAATTTTTGTCAGGTCTAGGGGCTGGTAGGTCACATGGTGGTTAAGGGCGCTGGACTCCCACATGGCTGACCACAGTTTGAGTCCCAGACCCGGCAGCTTGCTTTCTCACTTTCTCTCCCTCTCGTTCTGTCCCTGTCTGGTAGAATTAAAATAAATAAAATTGAATGAAATAATTAAATATTTTTAAAAAAGAATTTTTTCAGGTCTAATGTACCCATACAAAATTTCTTCTCAGGTAGGCTGGAAGTGTCACTGTCCCCATTTCACAGAATGAAATAAAAAACACAGGAAGTCAATGATGATGCAGACCCCGAGGGCTTTGCATCTAATTCAGTTTTCTGTTTGATGTTCCACTTGTTTAACCAGTTATGATCTCTTCCTGCCTTTAAAGAATTCCAGCAGGACTACATCACTATGAATCTAATAGCATCCAATTGGTAGATGCAAGGATCATGCTCGGGTGTGTAAATCTGTTGTCTGACATCTCCTTATGCCTTACTGTGGGAGGGTTAACTAGTTGTGAGTTGCCAAGGTATGGTAAAATTTGCCAAGTCTACATTAAAGGAAAAGAGGAAAGGTGGAGGGTCTTAAGAATCTGGTTCTTCAAGTAACAGCCCCGATATTGTCAAAAGTGACCTATTTGTAGGTTCTGAAAAATCTACAAGCATGTAGTGATCTAATAGTAGCTCGTCTTATTACAGCAGGCATATGTGCACTTGACATCAAAGATTTCAAAAGGCTACCAACACTCTCCTAGTTCCTAGTGGATAGCTTCATCTGATTCTGACACCTGTCACTCTCTCTGCAGCACTTGAAAATGCTGTCCAGCTCTTTCCTTTTCTCAACATGCAATCTCTTGGTCTGCCTATCTTCCTGAATATGCCTCCTTTTAGGTGATTAAGACCTTTTACCTGGGGTGGTAGCATTAAGGATGGCAGGAAAAGGTAGATATGAGAGACCTCTCAAAGGAAGACACAGTAATATTTGGAGACAGACTGAACCCTTCTTCCTTCCCCAAATATTGTCTTCTGAAGTTAATCATATATATGCTACCTTTCTTCCTTGGGGCAGGGACAAAATTTTAAGTATCCAAAAGAGCTTTACAATAGTATCAAGCCTTGGAAGATACTGAATAGTGTGTGTTAAATAGTCAAAGAATGATTTTGAGATTTCCTCGATCTTAAATTTAAGACTGAAAAAGAATTACCAGCCTTTACAAAGCCTACATTCAGCAAAGAAAACTGTTCCTTTAATGATGCATCCAGGTCTACCCTGGGCTTCCTGCAAAGATGATAGAGACAAGGACTGGTAAGGGCTGGTAAGGGCTGAATTCGTGATCATTAACCCCAGCTGTCATTTCAGCAAAGATAATGTCATAGTGAAGATGAGGGTAGGGAGGTCTTATATTGATGGTGTAAACTAGGAGTGACTGGGGGTGGGGAGCAAAGCCCATGATATAATCTGGGATTCTGTCATGGGGGCTGCTTTACTCTAAAACAGTAGGCCCGTTACAATGAATAAGCAGGTAAGAGGACAATGCCCGGTCCCTTCCAGAATGGCTACAAGCCTACATGTCTGGCAATGGAGAGCTGTCTAGGTTGAATAGTCGGTGTGGTATGGGTCAGGACAGACTGACAGAGGAATTCTCGGCATCTTCTTGCAGACATGGAGAAGAATCACAGAGGTCCATTAAGCAGGAAATTAAGTGGCAAGGGGCTCCATAACAGAGCTTGGAAGGGACTACCTGGAGCTGTCCAGGGCAGGCTTAATTCTACACCTACCTATGACTTACTCTATGACCTTGGACAAGAAGTTTCCTCCTTTGTGCTCCATTTCCTCTTATGCAACTGGAGAGTATTGGAAGCAGAAAGGAAAGGTCTGTAAAACTGCTTGAAAAGTGATTCTTAAGTCAAGGAACCACTAAGGCAGGAATTATCATTCACTTTGTACTTTTATGTCCTCCAAACAGTTCTGCAGATACCAAAGAATCACTGCAACTGAGACACGTGAGCAGGAGAATTGATAAAGAGAAAAAATGTGATCTAAATGATTTTTTAAAATAAAGTGAAAGGAAAACTATGCTCACCTGATCCCTGCCCAATGACATATATGGTCTCTCCGCATCCCTCGTCCATCCTCTCCCACATCTGCCGAAGTAGGCTGTCATACTGCTCTGATGTAGGGCTCACTAGAACCAGCTAGAAAAGAAACCAACAGCCTTAGGACCGCTCACTAGAAGAGTACCACAGCCAAAGCTGATAAGTAGCCTGACCAAAGACCCTCACTGAATCCCACAGCACCCCAATCTAGAACAGCTACACAGGCCCCTCATGCACTCTCTGTTGCTCCTTAAATAGTCTGAGTCTAAGGCCTTATGAGCTATGTGATGTACTAAAATGAGTACGTCTGAGCCATCTCCATAGTAAATAGGGTGTGAGCCGGGGAACAGGAGGGTGGGACCCAATGACTGCATCTGGCACTGTGGGTTGACACTCAGGAGCAGTGCGTTACACATATGTGACAAAGTCTTCTACTTGTAGCTTCTATCTGGAAATTCAGGACAGAGGTCACATATACTGTCATGCCCTCCACCCACAGGCCAGTGGCTCTCAAAGTAACTGAGGAATTCGGTTCTGTCTTGCCATAGCTATCTTGATTATTTGGGAAATATAGTAAAACCTGCCTGCAAGACTCATCTACTATAACAAAATACCATTACCACTAAGATGAGTATTAGCAACATCATTGTGCAAACCAATCGCTGATTTGAAGAGGGCATTCACCAACAGGCAGACCTGTTAAGACCCCATTCTCTAACCTGTGTGACCTTGGACAAAGAACTTAACCTCTCTCAGATTTTTTGCTCTACAAAATGATGATAGTACTTACAACTTAAGGCCCCTGCAAAGACCAAATTTAATAACATGTAAAGCACGTAGTCCACAGCTTAATAAATGGTAATCACAAAGTTTTCTTCATCCAATCACTCCTAGAATAATCCTCTTGGATGAAACCGGCCACTACTGTTCACTATTCCTCCCTTTGGAAGCTCTGGGAGCCTTACATCCCCACATGTAACTGTATTAAGTGTGTAAACTTCTAGCTTTTAATTTTTTCCCTCAGGAGTCAATCTAGTCAATCTATCCCTTCTCTCCTTCCACAGTATCAGGTTTTCTTCTCAATATCATCAGTACTTATATACATTTAGCTTCTCAATTTCAAAATAAAGCTGAAGAGGACTTCCCCAGCTACATGATGAAGTAACATTTCCCCCTCCAGGAACACTAAATCAGCTGGTTAGGAAAAGAAGACACTATTTTTGCAACTCTGCCCTGTAATTTCCCACTGTTTTCAGGTTTCTTCAGGACCTTGACCCTGTGTTGACATCCAGCTAGTCTGCTGTGGGTCAGGTGCACACCTATAACTTCCCGAGGTGACTCATCCGAGCTCGTAATTGTAACCTGGATGCTGCTGGGTCTTTTACATCATGTCACACTGACCCACACATTTCCCTTGATCATCCCTCTGTCCATCTTGGTCATCCCATTATGGCTTTAGAGGCACCAGATAGGACTACTGCAACAGGAGCTACAGTAAACACTGTCTTCCAAGAGCTCAGCTGAGGAGGGAAAGA